GAGAATATTAATATACTATCTGATGTCTCTGTTACTCTTTCTGATGATTACTATGGGAGCACTGTTGGTTTATTGGGTCAATACAATGGTAAACCAGAGGATGATCTACTGTCAAGAAATGAAAACACAACTTTACCCTCTAATGCAAGCACTGAAGAGATTCATTACGAATTTGGATTGACATGTAAGTAAAGACTGCCAAAGTATTATGAGTTTAACAATAATACTAATTTTACTCAGGGATTCTTGAAAACCCTCTTGAAAGCCTCTTCACTTATGATGACACTGGTAGTTGGAATACATTTTATAAGCCTGACTACAAACCAATATTCCAGCCTCAATTTAATGACTCAGCACTTGAAGAAAAAGCACAGGAGGTAAAAACAAGTCTATAGATGTAAAATAAACAGATGCTAATACTTTTGTTAGATATGTGGTGATGACAAGCTTTGTTTATTTGATATTGCTGCTACTGGTGATGTGAATATTGGGCAATCAACAAGAGAAACTGGTCAGGAGTTAACAACTATTACCGAACTCCTAAAACCTACATGTTTTTGTTCGGAAGGATATGAAGGAGTTATGTGTAACGATACTAGTAAGAGCATTAAAAATTAGAATAATGCTGAGGTTTAATCTATTATTATAGTTCTACAAGATTGTGAAGAGGATTTCTGTCTTAATGGTGCTACCTGTCAAATAGTAGCTGGAGCTTATTTGTGCATATGTTCTGATGGTTTCACTGGACCCAACTGTGGTATGTATCAGCCATGCATTATTTAAAATATCATGATATGCATTTATGCGTTTGTAATGTTCTTAGATATCTAAGTATGATGTATGAAGTTACCGTGCCTCTTTTGTAGGTACAAAAATTGTGGTTAGCAGTCCTATTCCAACCACTTCAACAACTCCACCAGGGAGTAATAAAGCATCATCAGTTAATACCTGGATGATTATCAGTATAGCACTAGTTGTTGTCCTTCTCATTGTAATTGTGGCTGTTATATCTGCATCAGTATGTCTGTGCTTCGTTAAAAGATGTAAAGTTAAGAGTTACACCAGAAATGAACATGATGCTCAAATAATTGAGAAGTTTGAAATGAAATTAAAGAACTAAATATTTACAAACGCATCCTTATTTTGTTACTGTACTTGCTATTAGTGTTGTTTTTTGGCTCGAGGCCAGTCTCTGGCCTATGTTGTTTTAGTATAGTAAATTAATTTTAGTCATACACACTCAGGATTAACAACTTGAGGTTAATATAAGTTTGCTGTGATATGACAAGGAGATTAATAAAGTATTTTCAAACTGAGTATGATGCCTGTTTGCTTGTCAGCATCCTTTATCATCCAACATTTGACCTTTATAATTATAACACCCAGTAAGTGGGGCAATTTCATTGAGCGTGGTCTCCATATAGTTGTGGTTGTTGCATAGGTTTTGTGATTAGCATGTACAATCTCTGCCTTTATGATGTTAACAGTGTTGTTGTACTAAATGTTTAAAATTTGATTGAATAATTCTTGCAAGCCTTGTGGGTGTAGCTCAGATGTCTACATCACAGTTATAATACATAAAGCTAGATTTTTCATCTCATTTTATATTATTATGATTGGTTGTATAACGAGAGCACTAAAGTGCGTACCCTCGCCACAATATGTATGCAACAGTTTTAACAAATTAAGAGAAAATAGTGAAAGTTTTGAGACTGAGAATAAGCTACAGCATGTACTAGATTTAGTAAAACTTAGTGAATGTTTTGAGACAGAGATTGATTTGTATTTTTAGACAGGGAAGAAGCTCCAGCATGTATGCTGCACTGCTGCATGCTAGCTAGCTGCAGCAATGTAAAGGTGTGGCTGCAATGAAGGTGTGGCTTAAAAGCTTTAGTTTTTCTCGACTTTTAAACAGTTTAGCTTACATTTGTTAGGCTCTATTTGTTGCATACAAACTGCTATCTAGTCTCTGGTGTTTACAGACTCTGGCCGCTACTTCGGGAGAAGAGAGCCTCGTCTAAACTCACAAGGTATGAAAGTTTGGGCTATCATATCTTTAAAACGAAGACGATTGGAGCAATTTCTTACATATTATTTAAAGATGAGGCATTGTTCTATTGCTTCATTTGTCTTGCTGCTTTTTAGCTTTCACCACGAAAAAGATATATTTGTACCGACTACACTGATTTGGCGATATTGTGAGCTTTCTCTGCCTCGGGAAGATGAGTCAAGCCATTTTCCAGACAGAGAATAACTTTTTCTATAGCTAGTTTTGATTAGAAGACTATCCAGGACTTCACAAGAAAGCAGTGTCAGCTCAAAAGTGGAGATCAAGCGAACACACACACACACACACACACACACTGACAGGACGATCGCAGTACCATAGATTGTATACTATGGCAGTACCCTCACCTATACGCCTACGGCGTGGGCGAGGGCAAAAATCATAATAATTTACTATTTGCAAATAGTGTTCTAGCCTTTAGAAAAGCAACTTTTAAGTCATGTTAGCATAGTTGTCGATTTAAAAAAATATAGCTATGTTATAAAATATTTGTAAACAATCATTTTAGGCCAAACTGAAATCTAACACAACATGTCACTGTTAGCACCCTCTGATCCTAGGCTTCTCCACTATTTCAAGGAAAGTTGTTGTGTAAAAATCTCAAATATTTAATGCTACAATTGTAGTACTTTTATATGTCACTATGAGCATGCACCTTCTTTAGTATATTATGTGTCACAGTGCTTAGGTGCCTCTCTTTGTATGTCACTATGTATATGTACCCTAACTCTTACAGTATATGTAACAACATTTGGTTGTCTCTAACTGTTTTTGAATGTACTTTCTCCAAAAAATTAGTGAGTATTAATTGAAAAATTTTCAACTTCTAATTTATAGCAAAAAAACATGTTGCTATACCCAACTGAGTTTGAGCAGAAGTGGAAGCAGCTGCATACAATTTATGAAAAAGTAGCCCTGCATAAATGTAGCCACAATGATCAATTTTGATTATCGAGACAAAGAATTATTAGGATTATCACAATGTATATACACGATTATTGCCCATCTCTAAATACTGTTTGTGTTTGCACACAGTGTTGTGTAAATCATAATCAAACACAATTTTTATGGGTAATGTGTAATCAAGAGTAAATAATATTAGGGTGTACTCTTGGTGTAATGAATGATGAAAATGTTATTTTAAAATAAAAATCATATTGCCGATAATTAATTTTATCTGATTTGAAAAGTAATAGAGTTTTGTAGTCAGGTGTGGTGTACTCATGCAGGTGCTATCAGTGAATTTTATAGTTGTTCCAAAATTTGACAAAATACTATACACTACATACAGAGAGTATTTTTCCAAAATTGCTTGGAGATAGTTTTCAATTTTTATAATTTTTCTAATACATATATTCTTTTTTAATACAAGTAATGCACTGTATAAAAATTTTGAGCTAGTTTCAATAAAAATTGGGTTCTTACAAATAGTACAGGCCTGGGTATTTGACCAAATTTCACTAAAAATAATTAGGAGACATTTTTCTATTTTTATATTTTTTGAGCTGATTCTAAACAATTTAAAATTTGCTACTGCATTGTAGTGCTTGTCACCTTATAAAGCATTCTGTTTAGTTCACTTAGCATATACTGTGGAAAACAACTATGCCTAGCCTCATTGATTTTTTATAAAATCTTTTTTTCAAATAGTTCTTTAAAAAATAGGCTAATTAGAAAGTACAAAATATAGTAGCAATAAACATGACATTACTTTGTATAGACTATATGTACAAGTGTAGCAAGATACAATTTTCTGTGTCAAATTGTACCTACATTTAGTTCTATTATTGGCAATTGTCTTGAATCTTCCCTTTCTTTCATGGTATCTTTCATTACATTGATGATTTCTTTCAGTAAAATTGATACAAACATATCAATGTCAATTCTTATATATTCAAGTGAACAGTTCAGTAAAACAGCTTCAGAAAAAGTCCCTAAAGAAAATAAATATTCAGGTTTTGTTGTTTCATTTGAACTATCAATATTGCACACTATTTTCATTAGCTTGATGGCTGTGTCTGATTGTAGCATGTTACTGATAGGTAGGCATTGCACATAGAACACTAAAAATAGTTCTGACATTTTGTCTGTATCATTATTGTCCAGTGTGAAGTACATCTGAATCTCATTTAAATGACTCATTTTAGAAGTGACATCAAACAGAGCTTTTATCTGTTTGTTTGTAGTTGCATCAAGTTCAATTGGTAAACTGAGTTGTGCTATCCCATTATTCTGCCTGAGACCTGCTAATAGAGAGGATAAAAATATTTAGTTTATTGGAATAAAGGACTCTTTCTTATCCTTGCAGCTTGAAGTTGAATTTTTTTATTTTGTTTTAACATTTCTTGTAGACAAGCACCCATACTGCTGGTAAATACACTTTTGTCACCTATTTTTACACTTAGAAACTTCAGTGTATTATTGGTTTGAAGAATACTAAAGAGTTCAATAGCATGTTCAGCTGTGTCTATCGGTACTGTTAGTTGTCATATCTTGGGATGAGAGTCAAATATTAGTTGTGGTGAATAACATATTGGTAGTATCAAACAACGCAGTCCCTTTATGTGTGGAAGGAGTGGTGACACAGTTGCATCTATTTCTAGTGCTTTCAATTGCATGTCAATGTCTTGTACCTCCAGTGGTGGTAATTTATAACCAAGCATGTGCAATGAAAGTGATTGTAATGTTTTATTGCTTTGCAGCAATTCTTCAAATGCGTCTGCAGACAAAAAATGAAGTGTATTACTAGTTTTAAAAATTATACCAATTGAATTGCTTGACTCATATGCTGTGAATGACTTGATAGTTTCGTTATAAGCTAGCCCTTTTATGATGCTAATGACAAGGCTCACTTGACAACAGTTTAAATTCATTTCTTTTAGTGTTTTGTGCTGCTTTATTTGTTCACTGCACATGTCAGTGTATTTTGCATCATCAGATTGAGAAAAACATTGTGTTTTGATATGTAGTATTTTTATTTGAGGTAGGCACAAAAATTGTAGCAGTGCATACGAAGGGGTATACTTACCCATATAAAAGTTGTAATAGCACTCTTGTATATTTTGTATTGGTAGTGGTTTTAGTAAAGTAAGTACTAATTGATCAGTGGGCTGATTTAAAAATACATCTAGCCTTTCACAATGAGGTGGTGTTGGTTGAGAATTGTTGGTTAGCTCATCAGTGAAAATTGATATTATGATGCACCCAAGGGAATACTTTTCGAGATGTAAACAGTTCCATTTTATTTGAGAATTGTTTATAAGGTAGCTGAAGCACAACCAGTCAAAACGGGATATGTTATTCAAGCGCTTTAAACATATTGAGTGGTTGGTAAATGATTGTGAAAAGATGCGGCATAATTTTTGATTCTGTGACTCGTATAAGAGTTGAAGAAGTAGAATAATTTCATCATTTTTCTCACAAAGAAAAGTCTTGCATTCTGAATCAGGAGAACTGCTATTGTAAAAACTAAAGCTTTTACATGCTTCAAATCTAAACAGTGCATTTCTTCTGCACTGTAAATCATATTTTACATTTCTAAAATATTTTTGATAGCTTTCATGCTCAAGATGACTGAGACCTGCCACAAATCTCAAACACATTTGAAAGTGATCATCATTAAAATGATTTTTAAATACCTTTTCTGTGTCAGTCTCAAATTGAACAATCCACCATGCAGCTAGAAATTCTTGAATGGTTAAATGAATGAACTGATGTATTTCTTCATCGTATTCTCTAAATGTTGTTATCAATCCAAGGTATTCTTCTTTTACTGCCTCATTTGCTAACTGCCGTAGGTAACTTGAAGCGAATGTCATTTTTGTTTCAGCCAGGCCAGTATAGGCTAAATGACATAGCTCTTTAAAAGGAATGAGTAACTGTGTTGGCAATGAAGAAAGATTATCTAGCGAATAAGGATCGATCTCATCCATCGACTTTTTTTCTACATGCTTTCTGATAGTTTGTAAGATAAAATTATTGTACAATTCTGTGAGTGATGTTGGCAAATGCCCTTCATTTTTACAATAAACTAAAATGACCATAGAACAAACTAGTGGCACATAACACAGTGATTGGACATCTTTTCTTATTTTAAGGTCATTGATGAGCTTTACAGCTAGTTGTGAATTTTCATTTGGATCGTCTGTGTGCACTAGTTCAAAATTGCAAGGATACACATTAACAACATCATATCCTTCTTCATAATCTGTTAGATCAATGATAATTTTTTTAAGAATTTTTTTTGCTTTTTCACTATCTTTTTGAAGTGTTTGTATTATTACTCTAGATATTTCTTCCTCAGAGAACCCAATTACCTGGAAATGCTTGTTAAAAGAAGTGATTCTTGACAGTTTTGATGAGGCATGGCTACGAGATGTAACAACTACTGAACTTTTGCATAAACGCTTTCTTTTAATGATGCTAGTTACTAATGATGACTTTTGTAGCTCTAAATTTAATTCATCCCATCTATCCAATATTATTAGTAATCCTTTTCCATTTTCTTCCTCAAACCACTTACTTACCATGACAACTTCATGACATTCATTTTCAAAAAGGCCTGCAAATGTTTGAGCTGTAGCTATTTTTTCATTTCTCAACGGGCAATAAAGTATCAGATCATAATGTTGAATGAGTTCTCCATCAGACCACATTTTCAAAAGCTTATGACAGAGTGTTGTCTTTCCGATACCAGGAGGACCATCTATTAGTACTCGGACAGGCGAAGAACTGTTTGGACAAAGGATATCATTTTCAACAGTTACCTCTATGTATCCTGAAAACGTAGGAATCATATCTATTTGTCCTCTTAGCATGTGCCATGCTGACATTTTATTTCCTGATTTTATGCTTGAAGATTCCTTCTCTACTATAACTAATCTACCAAAATAGTCTTGTTCAATCTTCGGTGGCCAGTCAGAAACAACAACAGGCTGAACTTTGTATTCCTGTTTCATAATCTCAGCGTATTTGTGAACTTCATTTGGTAGTAGATCTGTGGCAATTTGCTGGCCTTGACCTATATATGGGTTTATAATTACAATGAATTATAATGCACTACTTGGTACCTAATTGTTGTAGCATACAGGAAGCAATTCGAGCTGATGAGCAAAATTTATCACTGGTCAATTTAAATGCATGGCAGACATTAACCAAATAGTACTTCTCATCTTCTGGGTTAGGAAATGAGTTTAACTGTGCCTGTAATTTAGACACTAAGTAGCCAGCTTTTTGTAAATGAGATACTCCAGTAGTAGTTAGTATGTAATTAAGAGTTTCAAATGATATCAATTCTTTAGCGTACAATGTGTAGGCTATGATGCAAAGGTTGGCAGTGATGGCCTCAGTGAGGTCAACATAGTTTTTTCTTAATATATTATTTGGACCTGCAATAGATATGTATATAATGTATTTGGCATAAACATTATATATATAATACTTACTGTCTGTTACTGGACCAGGGTTCAGTTCAATATCTCCTGATAATATCATAATAATAATGAGGAAAGAACACAATAAGTTACATCCTACAAAGCTGCCAAAAATATTCCTAGTACATCTGTTGCTGGATCTTGTTTTGCTGCCCTCTCTAGAGTTTCCCTTATTTCCACTACAACAGCTAGGAACAGTTGTAACTTGACAAAGATTCCACATTCCAATGCTGGCTCTCCACTGTAAGAGGTTTATCATTTTCCTGCAATAGACTCTCAGTGTCAATCGAAGACTTAAAAACTAGCTGAAAGACACTTTATCTCAGTGCTGTTTCGCCTTTTCCAAAGGTCACTGGAGCCTAAGCTGTTATGAATAATGGCAAAATGAGTGGTCAGTTTTCATAATCATATTCATGAATAATTGACCTTGAGCCACACCCTAAAAATGACTCGGCACTCTGTAGATGGTTTGTCAGGATTGTGCTAGACTATGCTGGTTCTATTTTCTTCTCTATCCAGCAAGAAATTAACTTTTGTGATTGGTGAGTTGTAAAATTTGTCATGAATTTATTCTGGATCCAGATATATGTCTCAAATTGTTAGTATACATGGGCTTACAATATTTTTTATAATATGCACCTGATATGTATATCTACTTACCTGCTACCCGGTATGTGGCTAGTATGTGGCGGGATAAAATTTTTATGCACATTAAATTATGGGTATAGATCTATAGCAGACTGCCAATACATAGTCTACATTATATTAACATCAAAATTTTGTTTGTTCTTAGAATATTTGATGTTATTCATAGCTTCACATGTAATCCATAATCACATGTAGTCCATATTCACATGTAGTCCATATTCACATGTAGAGTGTAGCCTATTTATATTTTTATCTTTTAGGTCAGTCCCCTTATCTTACTTCCTGTATTCATCACTTACCTGTGGTTTAACAGGGAATGGCAGGGCGCCAAGGTATGTATGAGCCTGCTCTTGTCTTTACCAGCTATTTTAATGGGGCAGGTTCTGATATTCATCATCCACAGTTCACTACACGTGGAGATGGAGGAAGAGTTCTACAGGGAAGTGTTCATCAGAGACGTTACCCTTCTGTAAGTTAAGATGATACACACTAGCAAAATTTATATTTCAGTCTTACTTTGAACATCTTTGGATAATCATACAGCATGTAGAGTAGAATCTGGTATAACATGTATGTGGGACACTGCCAATGCAATTTCAATAATAATAAACATTGTGTCTCATACATGTACTAGTGTCTAGATTTACTCCAGTCTTTTCTTGCCATGCACTTTAGCATACAAAATAACCAAACTAAAAGGCCTTTTGTCCTTACTGTTAACGTTGTTGCTATTATCACTTAGTCTCGTGTAGCCAGACCCATCCCCCTTTGTCATGAGACTAAATATCACTGTCACTGTCATCATCCCTTCACCATCTATAGAGAGATTGACTGTCTTCAGACCCTTCATTGTCAAATGAATTTGCTATTGACATGTGTATGTGCTAATGTTCTTCATGCAGAGAAACTATTGCCTTTCTACACTAGCCCTGAATTAATACCGTATAGCGGGAAATGTTCATGGCCCAAAATTTTTGTGGATTTTGTGTTTTTTCAAAATTCATGAAAATAAAATCCGCAAAAATTGATTTAATATGGTTCAAGATGGAACCCCACAAAAATTAAAGACACGAAATTAATTTTTTTCAGACAGATTCGCGGAAATTTTGGGCCACAAAATTGATTTTTTAGATGGATCCATGAAAATTTTGGGCCACGAAAATTTCCCACTATGTGGTATACATTTCTCAATCAATGAGCATTTTGTCAAACTACCTCCATACATGTAATGCACATTCAATACCATATATGTCACCAGTAGCAGCTGGAACAAAATGCTATTAAGATAGTGTGGATGACATGACAGCCATTGAAGCAGTACTGAACCAGTTAAGAGTAGCATTACTCTGTGATGTGGCACAGTGCCATGATTATTATACTGATGATGTGTTAACACACCAAAGTTAGAGTAATTACTATAGTGCACACTGTGAACAGCGGTTCTCCAAACGGCATTAGACTCTCTTTACCTTGTCATGGTTCTTGCCAATTTGCATGCATTGTAAATATACATGTACCGTATTTCCTCGAAAAGCTGTCCTTTGAATAGTAGCTGCATCCATATAGTAGCCCCTCTGTGCTTGTAGCTATTGTAATAGTAGCCGCCCTCTAATAGAAGCTGCAGTTAATTAAAATTTAATTAATTAATGTGTCACGTGTGCTCGTTCTCCAGCAAGACCTATAGTTTCTCTCCTATTATTGGGCTCTATATTGCCTTGTAGACCTGGTGGCCTCTGATAACACTCGATTTCCATGTCTCCCAACGTTTAGCTCAAGTTTGCTTGATTTCTACACAATGGTGTCAATGGGTGCGGTCACATGCAGGCATGACCGGCCACGTGTTTTCTAGGAGGGATATAGTAGCCGCCCTCGAACAGTGACCACCCTTGAATAGTAGCCCCTGTTGACTTGAGCTGAAATTTATAGTAGTCGCGACTAGTAATCGAGGAAATATGGCATGTAAATACTAAATAGTAGTGTCTTCAGACCCTTAATATCCCCCCTAGATAGTGGAAGGGTGTGACAGAGACTACATTGTTGCATGAGTACATGTATGTGCAGCTTAAATTGTGTTCATGTTACTTATACTGTTACATTTGTTTTATGTTTTGTATTCTGTTTTATAGCTATACAGTGTATAGCAACCACAAAGGGAATTCTTCATGGAGATATACATAGCTCAATAGTTGTTTCCTCAAATAAAGCCATAACAGCGTTGATAAAATATGTGCTGTTACATCATGACTCTGTATATCATCACAGCATGACTAATAAACTCTTATCCCAATATAATAATTTATTTATGAGTTTTAGAGCACATTTCTCTATTTCTAGAAAGTACCTGATGCCGCGCACATGAAACTACCTGTCACACTAGATAACTATAAAGCAAAGTTCACTGCCTTACTCTATTATGAAGAACTGGAACACATTGAACTGTTGAAGAAGAAGTGAGTTTTAATGGCATACATAATTTATAGCATGATAGCTAAATCATTGGGTGAACCAGCAAAGCCCTTACTGGTGCAGTCATTCTATTTTTAGTATGCAGGACAAGGGTTCATAGAGAGGGGGGCACTGGGATTTCCCCCCCACATTAGGTTCCCCCCATTCATGCTCATTGTCACACCATTGATACAAATATACATGTACATTCTATATTTACCGTATAGCGAGTAAATTTGGAGTAGCTAAATTTTGGTGATTGGCAGATTTTCATTTGGTGGATTTAATTTGGTGCCATTGAGCATGTGTACATGTATAATGGCTCAAAATGGCGGGTTTTTATTTTGGTGAATGGCTATCAAAATGCCAAATTCACCAAATTTAATCCCCTCCAAAATTTACCGCTATACGGTATGCAGAAGCCAGCACAGTTCAGAGTTCTCCCTCTGTATGAAAGCTTGCAGGGTGTAGTGAGGGGCAGAGCCCTTAATGTTTATAGTCTTGTACTAACTTAAATTTTGCTTTAGGTGTGATGGTTGTTACACCCTGAAAAAATGTCAGCCACCTTCCTTAAGATATGATGAAGAAGACTACCCTGATAATTTCTATTGTCTAGAAGGAATGTCATCAGCACAGATCATGTATGCTACTCAAGCCAGTGATCGACACGTTACTTTTAGCATTGGTCAGCGTAGCTATATAGCAAGCATTCTCAGTTGTAATTATTCAGATATTGACAATAAGCTTTACATTTGTTTCAACCAGCGTGGTGAATCAATTAATAGCATTAGGGTTCAGTTTCCTTTAAAAGTCAATGTAACATTTGATGTAAATCACAGTTATTTTGTTGGCCTCAATGAAGGAGTTACGAGGATAAGCATGAATGTGTTACGTCGTCTTATACCTATACCAGAAGATTTTAAAAGCCCTCCTAAAAATATTAGCATTAACATTAGAAGGCACCCACATGGAGGGATTGATCTTGATCCTGAGCAGTATCCAGCATTAGAAGCAATACTCAGTAACCAATGTTCAGCTCCTGTACTTGTACCTGGTGCTTTTGGCTGTGGTAAGACTCGTCTTCTTGCTGTGGCTACAGAATGTTTCTTCAGAGAGCATCGTGAGACTGGTCACCCTTCACCTTGTCGTATTTTAATCTGTTGCCATCATCAACATTCTGCTGATGTTTTTATGGATAGTTATTTTAACAAAATGCTGACATACAAGAAGCACCCATGGCCAGTAAAAGTTGTACGTGTTACAAGCTCACGGCATCGAGTTGATTATCCTGGTTATGTGCAAGCCGCCCGTTTCAATAATTCACCATACAAAGATGAAACTTCTTTTTTATTGGTCACAACATTTGGAGGAGCCCTGACAATATCTAGACGGGTTGAGCCTGATTTCTTTACTCATATTCTAATTGATGAGGGAGCTCAGACTCGTGAACCTGAAGCTCTTAGTCCATTTTTAATGGCAAATGAGAATACTCGTATTGTTATTGCTGGAGATCATCAGCAGGTATACATATATAGTGTATGCAAGCGACATGTATTATACTTGTGGTTAACATGTACAGATCTACATAATATTGCTTATTTTTTCTTTTTATAGGTTGGTCCTCAGCTTCTTGTTCTTGGTAAAGCTCCTCAGCAGTTTGGTTTATGTGTGTCACTGTTGCAACGATTACTAGAGAAGTATAAATCTATTGGAGACATTACCAAGAGGAACACTCCATCATGGAATATTAATTATCGCTCACAAGCTGGCATTTTAGAGTTACCTTCTAAGTTGTTTTACAATTCAGAGCTGAAAGATTGTGGTAGAGTACCATACCACCTCAAGGCTCCTTATCCTTATGTTTTTATATGTTCCAGTTTTACTAATGATATTCCAGTTGATGCTCAGTGTTCTGTAGAGGCTGATAGACTCCTTCAAGCAGTGCAGCTACACAGTGACAAGTTCAAAAGCTGGGAACTGAATGATACTTGCATTATGACTCCAAGTTTAAAACAGGTATTACATTCATATATTGTAATGTTGCAATATGTTATTATGATATTGTAATTGTACATTGTTGAACTTTCCATTATGCCACATGAGTAGTGTGTACCTTATTTTTGAGGATAACAAATTTTACAGATGACCTGCATTCAGAAGTTCAAAAGCTATAATTTTTTAAAAATTTTGCTTATTCAACTTTTTGTACAGTATTGAATATAATTATTTTGATGGAATGTACATTGACATGGACTGTAATTGTATTTTTGTGGAACTTCAAAATCTTTGACTTAAAATCTTACCATGCAGTACTTATTGACAAAAATTCTATGATAGGCAAACCTTATTAGAGAACAGATAAGAACTAAATTTAAGAATTTGAAAGGTGTTAATGTTATCACAAGTTATCAAATGCAAGGTAAAAATTTTGTAATTTTAAAATAATGTGAATTTTGTTTTTCAAAAAATTACATTCAAAATTTTTGTGGTTCGCTATTTTATTTTTACAAAAAATTAAATAGTCCTTGAAATTTACCCACTATACTTTAATCTTTTAATAGGGCAGGAATATCGTATGCTTTTTATGAGCACTGTCGAGAGTTTGGAATTTAATGGTAGACCATTTGATCCTTTGAAGAGCTTCTGTAGTCCAGCACTATTTAATACAGCAATCACACGCTCTAAAAGTCTTGTAGTAGCTGTAGGTAATCCTCTTGTACTGCTGTTGTCTGAAGCTACTATGGATAATCCTAAATGGTGCTGGAGAGAATTCATTTCAAGATGCCTTCGAAATGAAACATTCAAAAGCACTCCTTCTGACTGTGCTCATTTTAAACAAGTAGAAGCACAGTTTTTTCGCATGCTGAAGTGTGAAAACCCAACTGGTAAGAATTTTACTATTTTATTTTCAATTTATTTTGCTTTAGATTTAATTAAATTGTTTCAAAATAAAGGCTACTCTGAAACTCATTCTACAAAAGCTACTACACATGTGCTTCCTATCCCATTATCTACTCCTCTTTTACCTCAACGATCCATTCAACCATCACGATCACCATCTATGAAAGACCAAAGTCAAGTGTCTGCTTCTTTAATAAATAAAATTTCTCCAGCAAGGATGCAACAACCATCTAAAGCTGCACAAGCACCTATAATTCAATCTCTTGCACCAGGAAAGAAAAATCAGTCTCCAGTAGCTAAAAAACAGCCATCTTCACATGGAAATAGACCAGCCAATAATTCTTTGTCGCACAGTATTCAAGCAAAGAATTTATCACCTCAGAAACATTCTGGGCGACCACTGAACAATTTACAATCTAAGCAAAGTCCCCTGGGAAGTCAGCACTTACCTATTAAAAGCACCCCACCTCAAAAACAGAATGAATCTCCATGGAGACAACTTCCACCTGTTAATGCATTGTCATTAAAAAGTACACAACAATTCTCTCCAGACACTGCAGGAAACACGCCTGAGTATTCTGAGCCATGTATGGGTTCTGCTCTTTCCGATGATAGCCAGAGAACAGCCATGAATATCAAGGCTCCATATTTTCAGAATAATACAAAAGGTAACACTTGTAGAACATGATCTGTTATTCCTATTATGGGACATTGCTTCTGATTTCAGTGATATTATTATTGAATTTTAAATATCTATTATAGTTGTTAGTATAGCATATTAATTTCTTTTTTGCTGCAGATTTAATATTGAAAAAGTTTTTTGTGGAACATAATCACAGACCATTTGATAGAAAGCTTTTGACTTCTAGACTGACAAGACAAAACTATAAAGAAAAGTTTTATCAGCTTCTTTGCCGCGAAGAAGAAGAACATGATAGGCTTTTGAAAGAAAGGTGTGTTTTACATATTGAATACTATTTTTTATTTTTTATTTGTACAGATGTGACGGATTTTATACTCTCTCTATTGTGAATGGCCATAGATTCCTTGAAGAGATCCAGTCTAATTATATGGTTTTTGGTCAAATAGTTAGTAAAACATTAGATGCTGATGCAATAGCTTATGCTCATCAAGCAAGTGAAGGCAAAGTTATATTAGATGTTTCTTCTGAAATCATACAGGCAGATATTGTACGTTCAAAAGATAAAGATGACAGGTGTTTGTTCTTAGGTTTTTCTAACTGCCTTGATATTAAGCAGCCAATTCAAGTCTATGTGACTTTTGTTTTGAAGTATTCTTATTTTGACCGTCTTCATAAAGCTATTGACAGGCTCTCATCATCTATGATAAATCGTTTAGTACCAGTTGATTGTAGCAATTTCACAATATCTACTTTAAAGCCTACTCTTTCCAATAGTTATCCAGATATAATTAGTTTAGATTATTCTCAATGCAAAGCCCTAGAAACTATAATAAAGTGTGAGTCAAGTAAAGCACCAGCTCTAGTGATTGGGTCATTTGGTACGGGAAAAACACGTCTACTAGCTCGAGCTGCTTATGAAATATTAGAGAAATCAGAAAGAAATAGGGTTTTAATTTGTGCTCATCATCAGCATTCTGCCGACAGTTTTATAATTGATTATTTTTCCAAGATACGTAATTGTAAGTGGTCTTCAGATGTTGTTCGTTTGATTCCCAGTAGTTCATATAACTTCAAGCTGACCCTTGAACAATATTATCACACTTGGCATAGACTTTCAAGGGAAAAGGAGAGAGATGTTCGCTTAGTCGTTACAACATTTTCAACTTCTCTTCATCTTTATTTATATGCCCGTGTTAAAAAGGGTTTTTTTACTCACATTCTGTTAGATGAAGGTGCTCAAACTCGAGAACCAGAATCTATTGCTCCTCTTTGCTTAGCTGATGATAATACACAAATTGTAATTGCAGGAGACCACAAACAAGTGAGCGAATGCAATCTGCATTGACTTAAATCATTAAATTACTTCTATTTTATAGGTTGGTCCCTCCCTCTTAGTTTTAGGAGAAACAGCAATTCAATATGGTCTCAGTCAGTCGTTATTGGAAAGATTGCACCATGCTTATAATAGTAAAGCTTTAGGTCGCCAAATAAATGTTTTTTCTCACTGTTCTACTCTTCTAACCAACTTCAGATGCCATCATGCTATACTGTCACTGCCTTCATTTTTGTTTTATGATTCTGCATTAATGCTAGGAGCTGAAGCAGTTACTCATCTTCATCCACTTTCCAACTATCCTCTTCATTTTATATGTTCAGGACTTAGTAATGAGAAAGAAGTACATGATAATACTAATGACTTTGAGGTGGATTTATTGCTGTCTAAAGTAAAGAAGTATGTTGATAGTTGGCCAAAAGAATGGGGCTCAAGGAATCTATCTAAAGTGTGTGTGATGACAACTACTGCTCATCAGGTAAAGATTAGAATTTTTTTAATTTTCAATTTCTAATTTTAATTATAGAAATTTAGAGTCATGAATGCAATTCGAAAAAAAACTTCACCATTTAAGTGTCTGAATCAAATTGAAATAAAAACAGTCTTTGATATTCAAGGTACAATTTTGCAGTACTTAATTTAATTACTTTTCATTAATTGGTATAGGTTGTGAGTATGAGGCAATTTTTCTTAGTACAGCAGAGCCTACTACAAGAGAAGGCAAATCTAAAAATCCAACCAAGACACCTTGCAGTCAATATGTATTCAATACTGCATTAACACGTGCTAAATCGCTTGTAGTGTGTGCTGGTAATCCGTTTCTATTGATGACAATAGAAGAAAGCATGGGTAATGAATGCTCTTGTTGGAAAGAGTANCATTAGAAGGTGTATACTTTCTAAAACTTTTGTGCCCCTAACACTTCAATGTACAAATAGCGATCAAATTAAA